AGCCCCCGGCCGCAGCCGAGAGGAGGGAGTGGGGGAGACCTTGCGGGGAGGGAAGGGGGGGGGCAGGTGAGTAGCAAAAATACGCAATTTCGGCAGCGGCAGAAGAGCCTGCCCGGCTGTGGACTGGCCGCCTTTCAGAAGATCACACGAAATAATAGGACAGTCGGCTCCCATTTCTGCGCTGATGCTTTGCTTTTCGCTGGAGGATAAAGGGAGAAAATGCCTTAAAAAGAAAAAAAAAAGCGAGCATCCAAAAACAGCCCACGCAGACTGCGGCTTTAAAGGCGCTCTTGCTACGCCAAAGTTCCCGTACCTGTACCCGTGCGCCTTGCTGTGCCTGCCGCAAGTGCTGAGACCGCTCTGCCTGTCCACACCACCAGGGTGCTGCTTTTCCTGTGGTCCTCACAGAAATGAGCTTTGAGCATCACTCTACATTAGGATTTTACACCAGCTCTGTGCATCTCGGCACTTCTTGCCCTACAGGAAAAGTCTCTCCTGCTTTTGCGTGAATTACTACAGCCCAGCTCGGATTTCAGCAGGCATGAGCTGGAGAACGGTGCCTGAAGGAGACGTGCGACGTGACAGAGCAGCGCCTGACCTGTGCGCCGCGTCTCCTGCTCTGGATCTCCCAAACCTTCACCCCAATGCTGTATACAGGGCCATAGCAAACTGCCCTACGGACGACAGTCGGGGTGGTGCCAGCCTCACACATCCCATGGGTGCTCCCTTGAATGAGCCTCTTCTCCCATCTTCAACGTAGCAATAAAGTCCTGAAAAAACTATTTTGGTCACATACGGAATAAAAGACAAACCCGCTGCCATCCCTTGCTGCCGGAGAAAGGCATTTTCCGAAGCAGGTGTTTGGTGTGGCGCTGACCTCTGTTGGCACTATCCGCTAAAGACATCCGAAGAATTGGCTGTTCCCAAGGCACGCGCCAGCCGTCCGCCTTGGCCAGGCTTACCGACTGGTTTTCCCAAGTTGTGAAAGAAACTGTTGATAACATTACTTGCTCCTCATTAAAAATTAAACCTTCAGGGTAGGATGTTGCCCGTTATGCTGTGGTCACATGTAAGTTCTAGCAGTTGAGTAGGTCATCATACTTAGTACAATGGTTTAACTGAGGAAAAATAGTCACCAACTTGCTCTGCTAACAGCAGAAGACAGACCTGGGTCAGCAGGTCCCTGGGGTAAATAACTCCTTGCGTGGCAAGCAAAGACCTCCTTTTCCAGCTGATTTAGCCCATGGTTTCAGTCATAAGTTAGCAAGCTGCTTGCTTTTTCCTACCCCCGCCCCCCAAAAAGGGCATTTAGCAGAGGTCAGGAAAGATCCTTGCCCTCATATTTTCAAAGCTGTAAGCATGTTTTTCCTCCCTCTGAAGAGTGGGCACCTTCCACTGCTGAAGCAGGCGATGAGCTGAGCAAGTCTCTTTTAGACTACTAACGACATCCTAGCTTCCAGCATCTCTAACAGAAATTAAAGCAATGAATAACAATAAAACAAGCTGAGCCTGAATTCATAGAACATATGAACACTTCAGCTTTACAGTTTAAAAATCATTGCTTACATTTCTCTGCCAAAGCACTAGTATTATTCCAGTTCTTCATCATAATGGCAAGCCAAAAGCCACACAGTGAGAACAAGCACATATCCAGCTGCCCTAACTCCTAAATTTGTAAATCACCAAATTCCCAAATTGTCAAAAAGTAATGGAAACATTATTACATCAAGTCTATTCAGCTGTACATAGACAAACCCGAGACTTCTTAAAGCTGTATGGAGCAAAGTCAAAGGTCTTAAAATTTAATCTATCCTCCTCAGCCTCTCTAATTTAATTCTATGTGCAAAGGAATTGGATCTCTAATGACAGTGAATAATCTCAGTAAAGGTAATTCCCAAGAAGTTCTGAAATCAAATTATTGTATGAAATGTAGATAAACACAAGCTCAGGAAAATATATTGCTTACAATTATACTCAGAGCGACACTGGGAAATGCAGATTTGAGCAATCTACAAAGTGACAGAAATCAGATAAAGAGAAGATCACTTCTAAATATTTTAGCGCCTGGGCTATTTTTTAGACACAAAAATCACTTCATGTTAAACATTATTGTAACTGAACAGAGAAACAGAAATATAATGACAGAAAAGAAAAGAAAAATGGTTGTTTCCTATGAAAAGCAGTAGTCCCTAAGTAGTCTGTCTTAAATGCAGTCATTCATCTATAAAATACTGAAAATTACAGCAAAATAGCAAATTGTATTTTTGTTAGTCTTAGTTGCTGAAGATTTATTTTGGGAGAAAAAGGGTTGAAGGAGAGTTTGAAGAGTTTGCAATTGCTTCTGTCTGTTCACCTTTGCATTAGGAGGCATGTTTTCTCCCCTTCTGTGTACAGCTAGGCAAATTAGTGGGATACTTACTTTTTTCCAATGACAATATAACTTTTTTTTTTTTTTGAAAGGACCATAACTGTCTTTGAATATACTTCTCTTTAAGGTCCAGGAGAAAGATCGTTTCTTAGATACTTTATTTCCTGTGTTGAAACCACACATTTCCATTCCTGTTTATTTTTTCTGCCTCATCTCAGACTAACCTCATCCCTGAGAAATTATCATAGGCTATCCTAAATTGAACATCTATTTCATTATTTAAAGCAAAAATCAGAGTGTTATTGTTCAGATCAGCAAAAGCACCAATTAATAGATCAAAATTGTAAGGGTGAAAACAAAGTTGCACTTGTATTTCAGTGTGCTTGTGGATCTGGGGCAAAGACACTCTTGCCACTTAACATCCAAGGTGAAACATGGGTCAGTCCAGTCACTGACAGCAATAGCAACAGCCTCTTGGCATAGCTAGAAGCCTCTACCAAAGATGTGGGTACCCGGTGAGACGATGTTTCAACTGCTCCTTCCATCCTCAGCAGTTGCTCTTGGGCAGGACACATGACTGGAGAGATAAACATGGATCCTCATTTCCCTTTCAAAAATTAAATGGTCAAATAGGCTTATCAAGGAATGGCAAAAAGGGCTCAGAGAAGCAGGAGTAGACAGAGATATCTGACTTACAACCCTGGCTGAGAAAAACCTCACCTGTCAGCGTTAAGATTTAGCAGATATAGGTTACCAAGCCAAGGAGATACATATATTTATACATATTTTGCTCTTTCCCCTTACTGTCCTCTGTAGATATGCCCCTTTTTAATCTAGAGCTGGCTAGCATCTCCACACAGACCGCAGAAAGGATACTTCAGTGAATAAAGTTGCTTCTAGGGCTTGCTTGAATACCTGGGAGAGCCGATAGGCAGCAAGCCCAGAGAATGTTCCATGAAGTTGCCTACATCTTGCGAGGTGCTGTTGTTCATATTTATCTTCTCTTACCAAAAATACACATTATTTTCCACAGGGAATGGCCTTACCAGACTCTACTTACTGTTAAATTCCAGAAATTATGTGGGGGTGGGTGTTATTGAATATTTTATTAATATTAGATGGCCACGTTTGATATGCAATGTAACTTTAGAAAGTCCAAGGTCACTCAGGTCAGTTAAAATCAGAGGACAGTTCCCCATCCGATAGAAGTGCTTTCTGTAGCCTGGTTGGATGCACATGCACACAAACACCAACTGCTTTTCTGCTTCAGCTTCCTCCTTCTACACTTAAAGAAAATTAAATTAATGTTCCTTTCCTCTCTGGACTTGGGGAAATTGTTGTCTATTATCCAGTCTAATTGTATGGCAGATTTATAACAAGCCAATATGCAAGACATTCAATGTGGTTGAAAATTAGTACTTTCGTTCTACAGCCTGGTAGGTGAGGAGATTGCTGCAGAAGTGACAAGCTTGATTACTTTTAAAACCCAGGCTATTTACACTGCTCTTACTCTGCTTTTCCTGGCCTATCCATTGAGTGGCAGTGGTGTTGAGTTCAGCCTGAGCAACTGGAGATGAAACAAAAGCACCTAATAACAGCATTCAGACAGCGAATGCCGTTCCTGGGGAAAAGCCCACCTATAGCCTTCAAAGGGACAGGACAGACAAACTCCTCCTATAACCTGCGCAGAGTACTGAGAGCATCGGGGTGACAAGCCCTGTGTGCTGACTGGCTCTGAAGCCATACTCCGTGAAGTGAAGAGGCCCAGAAATACTTTTCATATTTTGAACTCACTTCCCCTGCCAGTATTCACAAGTTTTGTACCATACTCATCTTCAGAGTGTGGAGCGCCTTCTGAGAAGGTATTAAGCAGTGTATCTAATGCCACTTACCCTGAGATGTTGGTTCCCTCACCAAAATACCTGCAGTAGACCACTTAGTTTTGGTAGGGGGCTTCAACGAGCACACATCTTCCTTGTGCACTGCCCAGCCTTTGTATTTTCAATGAAGGGACGTCCTTGCATTTGAGAGAAAAGTAACACAGAGGTTATGGTAGTTCCTCAGATTCTTGTGGAGCTTATGCCAAAATTCATGATATTGGAGTGCCCATGAGAATTATATTCTTCCTCTGCCGACAAGCTCGTTACACATTTTTGTGAACCAAAGGAGCATTTACTGTCATCTTAAAGCCTGATGTGCTTGTATTGCTGAGAAGATGGTACGGTAACCCAGCTGTCATTTCAGCCCTGATCCCTTCCAGTCACTCCAGCTACAGTACTAATTGACTCTGAAAGACTCTCTCCCCAGTGCTCTGTGCTAGAGGAAATTCATGACAACGATGCTAGCTGGCTTGATATTTGGATTGCTTAGTCTAAAGAACAGAAAAGAAAGAGGAAAGCAGGGGCATGGTAATAATCTATAAATATGCAAAAGGGCTGCTGACAAGAAAAAAGCATTAATCTGTTTTTCATGCTCCTGGTGGATAGAACAAGAAGCAATAGTCTTAAATTGTGGCAAGGAAAATCTAGTTTGGCTGTAGAAGGTATTTTCTAACGGTGAGAAAGGGAAAGGATTCCTGGGGGAGCTCCTTTACTTCAGACCTTGAGAAACAGGCTCGGCAGCCACTTTTGGGAGCGACCCACACATGGCACATTCTGCCATGAAGCTAACAGACAACGTGCCTAATGTACCGGCCTCGAATTTATAACCAAAGTGAACACCTCTCATGTCAGCAAAGCATTTCTGTTTTTCACTTTTACGTGACAAAAGGGAGAATTAAAAGACAGCCCATAGTGCAAGAAAAGAGAAATGTTTGGGCATAACTTTTTGCAACTATTTTAATTTCAACTTGGAAGTGCCTTGAGGGGGGAAAAAAGCATCTAAGATAGTTAATCAGCCTCGTGTCTGGTCACACATTACCACTTGAATACCCTGAAGAACGCTTTAGATATCCAGATGGCCAATTTAGCACTGAAATCAAAGGATTAGACCCATCATCTTCATTTTTAGGTCTGAAAAATGGGTCTACAGCGTTCAAAAGAGATCCTTTTCCTTAAGATCTAAATTATAGACTTAGAATATAGAATTTCTTACTGAGGAAATTATTAACCACTTTTCTTCAGGCTGAGGATGTCTCATTATGAAATGAGACTATAGCAGGTAATGACTGAACTTTCTAGTGGTAATGCATCAAACTACAAAATAGATAGCATAACTATCCTTTAAGAGCACAGTAGCCATCCCTAGGGGCAAGTTTAATTTGTTATAATAAACGTGAAGCAAGCTGTACTGTAGAATGCCTATGCTCTAGAAGGCGTTATGTAGAACCTCCTATGTATTGGCACATGTGTAGTCACATATATGAACCCATGCGTGCACGCACGTGCCTGAGAGAGCAGCTGTCCCTCGGGAGCTGTGTAGGTGCTGGCAACATGCTCAAGTCCCCTGCAGATGTTAGCACTGACCAAAATCCCCACAGAATTACATGCTTCAGCTAATCCCTAATAAATAATTTTTTCCAAGCTTCTTGCATGCTGTCTAAGCACAGAGTGTCCAAGGGAATGAGTCTTCTAGCTATCTTTGCCAGTGCCTGCCTCTTAGGTTAAGCTAGTAATTTTATACTG